AACAGTTACACCCAACCTCAAACTGTAGATCTGAAGGGGGGAAAGAGGAAGTGAGAGTGCAGAGTGGAATATGTGCTGTGTGAGTGACAAGGGACTGGCTTTTTTATAGAGGAGGAAAGGAGAGGAAGAGTTTCAAGTTTCAAGTTTTATTTGTCAGAGGAGCAGCGATGTGAACTTTTAACTCTCAAACTCCAACAAACAGAGGTTATAAAAGCTGCAGCGGTCCTGAAGATCAACAGCACCGACATTTCACTAAATGCATCAACATTTATTCACCTCATATAAACCTCATCGATCACAGAAACACTTCCACTGTTTTATCCACACATATCTAAATACACACCACATATAAACTCTCTCTCTCTTTCTGGCTTGTTGACCTCTGAGGGAGCTTTAGTTGCTCTAACTTGTTTTCTTTCTTTATGTGTTGTTTCATTTGTGTTAGTTGTTGTTTCTCTCTTTACCCTTCTCATAATCCTTCCTTAAATCTGTGTCTCCCCTCTCTCTGCTGTCCAGAAAGGTGATTGTTTTCCAGTGTACCCAGCTGAGCCATGTGGTCTCTAACAGAGGTCAGGTCTAGATGATCCTGAACAAGAGGAATGAGGAGCTCAATCTGGTGTAATCTGAGGGTTGATGACTTTGACTGTTTTGCACTGCACTACTATGCTAAGGCTTTTTACCAGACAAAAATAATAAATTGCTTTATGGCTCAATTAATTTATCACTAGTTTGCACTGGAGCCTACAGATGTCATGATTTGTTCTGTTCGTTTAGTTTTTTTCCCTCGTTTTGTTTGAGTGTATTTCTTTGTTTTTTTCTAGTGTTCCTGTCACCCTGTAGTCCAGTCTTGTGAGTTTTTTTTTTTCAGTTTGTGTTTGACCCTGTTTTACTCCTGTTCTTTGTGTTTTATTCTCTAGCTCAGTTTTCAGGGTTTATTTCCTGTTTAATTTTGAAGTAGTTGATTCCTTGTGTTTCTAGTCTGGTTTTACTTCCTCAGTTTTACTTCCAGCTGTAGGACTCAGATCTGGGACCTGTAACACCGGTGACTGAACACATCATGGAAATCCTGCAGATCACTTTTAATCCCTTTCTCATGCACTGAATGAAGCAGCTTTCTCTTTAAATCTGTTTCTCTTCACCCTTTTAAAAGAGCTTTGGGGCTACTTTACTATCACCTCATGTATATACTAACCCACCTGTAATAGAAAAACATTTATGTACATTTTCTTCAATCACTCTCAAACCCTAAGGCTGAGCCTTAATTAACTGTGTAAAGGACCAGAATCCTCTTGCTCATTGCACGGCCTGGCTCTGAAAACCATGACCAAGCCTGTTAAAAAATGGTTTTCAACAACTTCATTTCAGACCTCACCCATAAACTGTCTGGGTGAAATTAGTTCCATAATGACAGTCTGATTCAGCCGGAAATCTTCCATCAACATAAAATCATCTGTAAAAGAACAGCAATTCTCAAATGACTGAAATTCATCATACACTTTTTGACAGAAATTAGCAGCAGTGTGGCATAAAATAAAATATAAGAATGACATCACCAGTCTGGACACATTGAAACCTAATGAAATTGGTGCAAAAACGTACATTTTCAAACACCCATCAGTGCAATATTAGCTAAAAGCATTTAAATGAGTACATTTTCTGAAAATTACGCAAAAAAAAATCATGTTTTTCTTGTTGTCTACATGTTCACATGACATTTTTCTGACACTAGAGGACATATCATGAGAAAAATAAGTGCAAAATTGCATTTCTGAGAATTTCTGCTTTCAAATTGCTGTGAAACTTTCACAGACCCAAACAGCAGGTTCAGACACAGTGGGATTTTCTACGTCATGATTTCAAGCTCCGCCTCCTGTGCCCCGCTCTGCAGGCCGAACTCCGAGAAGTAGAGAGGACGATCACAGAACACCGGATTGCAATGCTCGTAAGAGAGCTGGTTATGATATTAGCTTTCATCATGCCCCCAAAGTTATTAGTGCTCAAGAGCTAAATAGCTCAGTGGTCAAATACCATTTACAAAATGTACAAGGCAAAAAAGAAAATACCAACAAGACAGGAGTTTCATTATAACTCTGGATTCTCACTCAAGAGAAAAAAAAAAAATAAATAAAAAAAAAAAATCAGAAACACAGCAGCAATACAAAAGTCAGTTTGGCCATAACCTTCCATGTAACAAACCTCAGACTTAAAGAAAGGCCCAGGCAGCCTTCTTTTAAACCCCCAGCCCCTCCCAGTGGACGGCATTAATTACATAGGTTTAGAAAAAACACATTTATTCACATTCAAACTTTTTTTTATTTTCATTTTTTTTTTTATTTTTTTTTACTGTTTTTAACTTTCAGACGTTTTTACCATTTTAACTAAGCTCCTACACAAATCGGTGTAGCATTGATTTTTAGGAATGCATGGAAAACAAAAAGGGAATTAATTTTTCTTGCATCATGTGACCACTTTGACCCGCCATACCTATCTATTTCAAACCCGGAAATGGCGCGCTCCGATTGGCATTTGGAAACCAGAGTCAGCATGATGGCGTGAATGGACACCCGGTAAGTAAGTGGAGAAATGAATATGTAGGTAAATGTATGTTTAAGTTAGCGGATAGAGCTCCATATGTGCACCCTTGGTTACCCTATCCAACAGAGAAGGGAGGAGGAAAAGTAGCGCTGTTTGGTGGGTAAATAGCGACGCTGGCAGGGAGGGAAATGTTTGGCGCGTATGTAGGTGTGTGTGTGCGGGCTCCATGCGCTGCCTGCAGTCTGTGAGGACGCTGCTCTGTCACACCCCCTAAACGTTGAAATTACAAGTAATATTTCCACATAAAAATGGCTCAAATGATAGAAAGCTGGGGTGACCGTTTTGGGAGGGGGATGATTTTTACCATTTTCATTTCAGGGGGGATGCCATCCCCCTCATCCCCACCTCACAACAACCTAGTGACTTAAATATTCCAACATAAAAATAACACAATAAACCTGCAGATACTTTAATGAGCTCTGTGAGTGTGGTCTGTGAGAGTCTGCCAACAGCAGGAGCATCCACTGAGCTGTGAATACTTTCCCAGAGACCTCATATAAAGGTTCAACGTTTGCATTATGTATTCTGTTGAATGGTAGATGGAAATTGATAATAAGTCTGGATACAAGTTAAAATCCTGCATGTGTCATAATATTTTGGTTTAACAAATCTCATTTTTTTTTTGTTTCTGCTGCTGGGTTTGAAGCAGACATATGACTCCAGTCATGCTGGTCCTTCTCTGATGGCAGACATGATAATAGATTCTTTCTCCTCTTAAAATGCGCAATGAGGAACAAGATCACCAGTCTAGACCCATGCCAGAATACATAAAGGATTCATGAATAGAGACCTGGTTGATGCAGTGTGTGAGATTTTCTTTGTGGGATACTTCAGACCGAACACCCTCTGAGCCCTTAACACTTTGAGGGACTACTCCTTTATCTTCCAAGATTTTGTGTCATCTCTATTAATGATTCGACGCTGCTCAAATCACTTCCAGAAATCCCCTCTGGTATTGATGATGAATAAAGCCTGTGTGAGAGTGTGAATGCAGGACAAATGTGTGTCACAGCCTTTAGCCTCCAGACAACAGCTGTCTGTGGTGCGTGCATTGGTGGCTCTGGATGGAAAAAGAAGATCTGACCGTCACTACAATAGTCACATTCTTTATTAGCCTGGATCCAGGCTGCTGTCCCTCTGCCAGCATTCCTCAAAGCCAGGGGAGAAGCTGGCTTTGTGCTAAATGTCAAGTATGCCAGCAATTGCACAGAACCACCAACAAAGAATCATCAAAGAGTTCACCAAAAATGACGCGGACTCTTTGCACTGTTGCAGAGAACTATAGAGCTGTGAGAACGATTTCACCGAAGCTGCGCTGAAGATTCTGCTCTAAACTCTGATTTTTTTTCTTTTGATCATTATTCAAGAGCAATATGTTAAAGTTTGAGCATTGTATTTTCATGGTCAGATTTTGTAACGCTGTCCTCGTACTCCCTTTGCCCTCATTGCTTTATAGTCTCTGCTCTGAGTTGCTTTGATCAGGTTCAGATTTATGAATGCCTTTGAACAGTACGCTCCCAGATTTGCTTTGACTTACATACGACTTGTTGTACTTTTGTAATGCTCCAAAACAAAGTTGAATGTTTCCACAACATTCTGAGCAATAGACAGCTATTGGACGTTTCGTTTTTTTATTTTAGACCTAATTTCAATCGTCTAGATTTTGTATATTTTTAGACGTTGCACTTTAACCCATTATTCGATAACTATTTGTTTCAAAAAGCAACTGTGAGTTGCATAAATGATCTCCAAGTACTTAACCAAAATAATTATGATAGCCATTGAGCAATATACAGTGTAGTATAGATATAGCCCAGATTCAGACTTGGTCTTTACTTGGTCTAAATTTAGACCAAATTTATAAAAGACTTCACTTTTTAGACCTGTGGTAGCCTGATTTTAGACCAGTTGTCTAGGCTACATTTAGACATCTATTAGTCATCTTTTAGACCCAAAAAATTCCCAGTGGGATATCATCAGTATGCATGACACCTTGCATTTTCTTGTTAGGGGGTTTTGACAAGGCTGTGACACAAATTTAAAGGGAAATCACAAGTAACATAAGAGTAAAGAAAAGATCTGAAGCAGAGAATAGATAAGGCACTGGCCTCTTTCAAACAAAGCAAATAAAGGTGCAAGCTGGATGTCCTTGAGTGCAAACAGAAGTAGTGAAGCTGGAGCTAAAGAGAAATCCCTGCAAGTCCCAGTTTATTTACTGGCAGGGTTGGCCCCACTCTGGCAGCCAACCCTGGGGCAGCTTGATAATATCTGCATGCAAGCTTACATCACAAGTAGACCAAGATGCAAACACAGAGACTTTCAGTGCTCAGAGAAAGGATAAAACTTTGCAGCCAAACTTGTACAATGCACAATATCAGAATGCAAAAATTTAGTAGAGCAGAAAGGCTGAGGCTTGGGTGCAGCAGATGAATGCAACTCCTAATAAATATGTCAGTGCATGTAAGAACACAAATGGAGTGAAGTGAAATGTTTCAGGAAATATTTTGTGGTAGAGCGTTACAAAGTAGGGACATCAAATGAGTTAGTAATGCTTTTATAATGTAAGATTTTGGCATGGAGTAATGAAGAAGAAAAATAACTTTGAGACATTATTGTGCAGCAAGACTTTATAACCATAATATGTTGCAAAAGATAAAATAAAAAGGATCAAAGATTGTTCCAGAACTGCATGCAGGATTAAATATGCTTTGCAAATATGCATTTAAACCATCACAAATAATGAAGTCATGCATTACAGCAGGGTTGTGGTAGCAGGGAAAATGGTAGTTACAGCAGGAGTAAAACTGGAGATGTGGTTGTACTGCTATAAAAAGTATAATAGAGGAGAAAAATAGAGGAGAAAGGTTCAAGTACCTTTAAATAATTAGTTTTTCAATTGTGATCAGAAAATCAGATGACAGGGTTTTTCAAAATAAAACCACAATTTTGGGCGCAGAAGGGTAATCATAAAGGATACTTAATCGACATAAAACTTTATCTACATATCAACATACTATTTCTACTTTATACAGGTCAGAAATTGCACCAGAAAAAAATATTTAATCTCTGAGGCAGATGATTTACATATTGTTTATTAATATTACTGTATTTTTAATACTAGATGCTGCCTACCTTTATTTCTTAAAATCTAAAATATCCACATTTTATTATTCATAATGCTGCCTAGATACTATTCTTTATTATTATAAGAAGAGGATACACAGATTCCTCACAGTTTAACTGTGGGGAAACCGCAGGCGGAGGTCAAAGAGCAGAGAAGAGCAAGTGTTCACCTATAAAGGTGTTCAACCTGAAAAAAAAAGAGTTTTATGCTGAAAGGCTGTCCCTGCTCAGCAACTCCTGACTTTTTATCCAGAGAGTTTATTTCTACTTTCTTCTTGAAACTGAATTTTGGGGTTGTTCTTGAACAACACCAAGGTTGGTATTCTTCTTCTATGATGCTGTTAAGTATGACAACAGAGTATATAAAAACTACACCTAAATTAATTCGGTCTGTGTTTACATTCTCAGTCTGAGTTTGTAAGACGTTCAGTTTGACTCTATCAAATGACCTTGTATTTGTCTGATCTCATCAGCTTTAGGTTGTTTTCGTGGAAAGGCTGGAGTCTGAATCAGATGTCAGTGTTAGCCCAAGTCAGACTTTCCAGTGTCAGCCTGTAGTGCTCAGAAACCCCACTTTAACAGAATTAGTCTGGATTAAGTAAGGAAGATTTTTCCAACTTTCAGAGAAAATCAATATTGTTTCCCATTAGACATCACCTCAGCTCCTCTGTGCCCCCCTAACAGCTGCAAAGTGGTGTTGATGTTTAGCCTTATTGGAGCTGGCTGGTGGTGTTGGGTGGTGCAGCGTGACAGATGGCAGGGCACTCTGGGGGTGAGTCGCTCTCCTGCCAGCCAAGGGCGGCTGTTAGATGAAGTGAGTCGATTACATTAGACTGTATAGTGTGTGTGTGTGTGAGAGCCCTGTGGTACATTGATGTTGGCATAGCGGATGACCAAGACACTGCTGCCAAATCAAGCACACCCACCTTCAAGTGTCCCACCCTGACACATTTAACTTCTTCTTTTTCTCTAATGCTTCTCCAAAAAAACATAATCACTGATAACTCAAATCGATGTAGCTTCAATTCTGTCTCTAAAAAATAAGGATAGATGGTGTTGCCTTAAAAATATGGTCTGGAAATCATTTGTATTTCTTTTTTCTTTTTAAGGGGATTTCTCTCTGGCTCACACCGTGTTTTTGTTTCATTGGGCTGGGCTTGTAAAAGAGTCATCACAGTTGTTTCAGTTTTGGAGAGAAAAGTTCTGGAAAAATCCAATGATGTGATTACTGTAAACTCATAGAGAGAGTCTGAACAAAGTGCGTATGTTTTTCTGTGTATGTGTATGTTTTGGACAGTACCTGGGATACAGATAGAGTCTGTGCAGTGACCTGAAGTTAAAGATGAGAAATGTGCAGTGAAACACTACCCCTTACTCTGGAGATGCTAGGAGCAGAACAAAAACAAAACAGTAAAACCTGAGAGCGTGGGGGATGTTTAATATTCTACACCCTACAGATACATGGCAGGAAAATATATGGAAATTCACAACTGACAATAGTGATAGTAAAACAAATTAGGTAATGCATAATGTGGAAAAATAAATGCAATACTAATAGTGATAAAATATCTGTTTCTGTGCAATGTTCACTGCTCTCCCAGCTGCACCCTCATCTTAGATTATTTAGTAGCTGGTTGTGTCTTTGTTATTCATATGCAGCTGGAAAAGAGAGAGAAATAAAAAAGATGAGGCAGAGAGGATTTGTTTCTTTCAGTGCACTTGTACCAGACAAAAGAGGAAGTTGACATTGGGCTCCTCAGCTACAGTTACAGGAATGAATTACTTATATTTTAGGTGACGGATTAGTGACCCAGTTGAGTCATGTAGATGCCACTTCTTTGTAGTAGCCATGATCTTTATAGTATTTGTATATTGTGTGGTTATAAAGGTGGGTGAATAGGGAAGTCCTACTTTTTGCTGACTGCTTATGTTTCACCTTATATTGAAAGACTTCCTTCTTTGTTTCATGTAAGTGCTTCGTCTTTTTTGCATAATTAAAACTACTAAAGGAGAAACAGCCTATTCATTGAAGCACATACAGCCAGCGCGTCGGGCAAGGTATGGTTTTCCACTGCTTAGCCTCACAGCGACTAAGTTGTTTGGGATAGTCGCCATACAAGTCATTAGGCTGCGTACAAGGAGCTATCTGTTATTGTTTATGTATTGTTGTATTGTGTATTTGTATGTATTCTGTTTGTTTATTTGCTTATTTGTTTTGTGTTTATGTATAATAATAATAATAATAATAATAATAATAATAATTATTATTATTATTATTATTATTACTATTATTATTGTAATTGTTATTGTTATTATTATTATTGTTATTGTTGTTGTTGTTGTTGTTGTTTTTAGTAGTAGTAGTAGTAGTAGTAGTAGTAGTAGTATTGTTATAATGATAATATTATGAGATATTTGCATTGTTATGTTGTGAGTTGGCTTAAGGACCCCAGGAAGAATAGCTTAGGCTTGGCCAAGGATAATGGGGATCCCAAATAAATCAAATCAAATCAAATGTTCACATGTATGGGACTATGCAGACCTTCCGCTTATGCTGTGACACGAGTACAAGGCTCCAAAATTAAGTTCACAGTCTAACCAGATGGTACACACCTTGGGTACAGTCTGTTGCTGATGCAGATGGGAGGCTTGTGGCTGGAAAAGGTTTTGGACTGCATGAGTTTACAAAGACAAGAAATTCTCTGAAATATCATGAAAAAGAAAAACAAACAAACTTGCCAGACGAAAATCAGGATGCAGAAAAGTTCCAGGAGAAGTCTGCTGGGAAAATCTGGAGGACAGATGCCCTCACCTCCCATCAGAAACAGCTAAGCCAGATTCTGGCAGTGCATTACAGTGTCTATCAGTGATTGCATGGCAGTGTATGAATGTGAGGCACAACTCTGCTTCAATCTTGGTCCAATAAACTACTTAAGTATCCATCTATGTATCTTTATAATATAAAGCACTGCATAATAGTCATCCAGATGCAACAGCTTGATTGTTCCTGCTTGTTGACTGATTTATTTTCCTGTCACCATAGTGAACAGATGGGGCTCAGGTTCTTGCCAAAACATTCAATCGTATCTTATCTATTTTGGAAAGATGTATTAGATTCCATTTGCAGTATTTTTTAGGGCCGTATGTATTTGCCAGAGGCGCAGTTATCTCTTTATCTCATTTGAAAGACTCTATTATTTTCAGATCAACATGAATCAAGGGCCAAGAGTTCACACTTCATCACGATGATTTATGGATGTATTCGGAAAGATATTTCACCTTATTCTGACTGATCTGTGTGGATATTTGTTTATGCCCTGCAGTGTTTTGACGGGATCACATGTCAGAATCTGTGGGTGTTTTGGAACAGCTTTGTCTTCACCCTTGCAATGAAATGTTGATGTGAGGTCCTGACACTACCACTCCTCCTCTATCGTATTCAAAAGTCTCCATTGTGTCTTGTACAATGGCCTTCTTTGGTGAGCTCCTCAGTCCCGCGCCTTAACCTCAGGAAAGCCCCCTCTGGAAAGACCATGAGACATAATTGAGTGCCTGCCAATTTCCACAGACAAGCGGGGGAGAACTTCATCACTGAATTGTAATTGACTATCAGACCTTCTAGCTTTTTTTTACACTTGAGATTTCATAAAGCTCAGGGATTGACAGACGGTTGACCAAGCAGAAGTTTCCGTGCAGCTTTGAAAAGCACGGTGGTGCATGCTCACTATCTGCTCTGCTCTTACATCCTGTTCAGCCAACTCTTTCTCCTCAGTGACTGTTTTAGGAAATAGCTTCAAGGGTCTTAATTAAAGTCACGGTGAAGTTCTCTTCATTCTGTTCAGTACAACACTCAAGTTGCCACTTGTCCCATTCCCTTTAAAGGGGGCGGCAGGGGGGTATCATTCTTTTCCACATTTACAACAAAAACTTCAAAGTTACAAAGTTTGGTTTCCATACTACATGTATGCAAAGTTTCAAATCCCAAGGTAATTTTATTTTGTCGTAATCTTAGAAAACAGATGTAAACTGCTGAAATCTCAGACAAATGCATGAAAATGTGAGACCGTAGTTTATGAGCGAAATTTACTAAAATTCTGACGTAAGAATTATAGACTCTCCTTACTGGTTCAACTGAGCTTCCGGCAAGAAGCTCAGCGTGTGAGGTGACACCCACTGCAGGATGGGGTAGCCATAGATTTAAAGGGATATTCCGGTGTAAAATTAAGTTAGGGTCAAACACACTGTAACACCGAGTTAGACACCCCGTCAATTATTACTTCATGGAAATGCAATCAGACCGAGACCCTGAGGCAGAAGAACTACCGCGTCTGCAATGCAAAATGATTATTTTGATGATTATTACTTTGAGGAAATGATAAAGTAATGATCATAAATGTTCTTCCTTGAGCTGCGTCACCCCACTGCTGTCCATAATGGACTGGCCCGAGGTCTTGCTACAAACAAGTGGCTGCTGGAAGAGAGTGGGTGAGTTGTGTTTAGTCTCTTTGCTAAAGAAATCAGGCAAAGTTAAAAGATATTTGATGGCTAGTGCTGTGGCTGGTCCACTTTGTGTATTGTTGATGTAGTCAGGTGCTGTATTGCTCTCCGTATTGCTATCTGCGGTCGTTACTAAAGTTGGTATAATTAGAGAAGCAAGTGGTCAGCAACATTCATCTCTCGATGCGGTGTCTAACTCAGTGTTACAGTGTGTTTGACCCTAACTTAATTTTACGCTGGAATATCCCTCTAATATTCATATATATTTACATATATGTTGTCTATTGGGGTTATGCTGCTCAACTGATCAACCACACTAGAGGGAGCAGGGCTAAAACATCGAGCTCTGCCATCGACCGTCTTTCGAAAAGCCTCTGGAGAGGTGGCCAGTCAGAAGGAAGTTGGCTTGTGGAGGGGGAGCCTTTTGCTAACCCTGTGGTTCTTTTAAATGTGCTGTAGAAATGAAGTTGATTGATTGATTGATTATAAAGACAGCAGCCAACATGAAGCGTTTCTGATGGAGGCTGAAAAACTATATTTTAATACACCACAGTGTAAAATTTGAGGCTTTCAAGAGGTATCAGAAAGGAGGAACTATAGAGTCTGAAAGAAATGCATGATACCCCCCTTAACAAATACTAATGCCTTCATAGTTAATGTGCTCGCAGTATGTCATTTAAAAGCCAAAAGTCATCCTCACAGCATCCTGCTTATCTCTACATGAGATCCATGGGACTCTCTGCAGTGTGCTAATGACCATTTTCTCAAAGCTGTTAGATCTTAATCAATTTGAGACACAGGGAGCTGCAGCAGATCAGATGCCATGTCAGTCATCCTGTCATTATTTGTCCTGTGTTGAAACGTTCATAATGAGTCTGACAGAGGAGGGACAGAGTCAGTGCTCTTTTGCAGCCACAGGTATGTCTGGGCTGTCAAGCAGGTGTGATGAAATTGTTTTGACCTGAGTGGCTCAGCTGGGGCCCCTACTTTAGCAGGGAAGGCACTAAGAAGTGCATATGCGTTTCCTTACATGGGTCATGGAACATTGAACAACCCCTTTTGCACTGATATCACTCTGTCATGGCTGGATGACATTTATATACCATGTCGACTTTTACTCTCATGTTCTGCACTCTTCTTATCCACCCCTTTTCTTCTTTTTCTTTCTTTCCTTTCGTTTATCCAACAACCTTAATGGGGTTCGTCAAGTCAGTGAGTTGTGGTGGATCCCCCAATAAGCCTCCCTGCGGGAAAATGGGATGAATTAAACAAGTGGGCAATGGTTATACCACCACAAAAATTAGGTCCCGGTCTTGACAAAGCAAATTGTAGTTCTGGATTTTTGGATGGCACTTGGGCTGGTCAAGAATCAAGTTTGAACATTTTATTTAAAACTTCGAATCAAGTCTCTGTTTCTCTTACCACTACGATACCATTTTATATTTGGTTATCATTGTGAGAATTCTAGATGTTCCTTTGATAGTTACAGATAACTGATCACAAGTCTTCTTTTTATTACTTTACATGCCATCTCCAGGCAAGTCTGTTACTAAAATATCCCTTGAAAGAACATAGTGTCCCACTCTTGTCTGTAAACAAGGATGCTTTTAAAGACTTTTAAATCAACTCCACACCGAGTATCTTTTTTCTTCCTCTTGGCTCGATCTGTAGGTGTTTCTTTATGTTTATACTGAGACTTGCACACAGAGGTCCTGATGAGTTGTTTCATGGATGGGTGTGGATCTGTATATTTGGGATGGTGCATTGGAATGTTCCCGTAATGGAGAGATCTTTTCTTGGTAGAGGTCTGTGAGGGGGGGTCTTGGACTGTAAAGTGCTGGAACAAATCAACACAGTACAATCCTTTATCAGACAACAAAAACATGTTTGCTGTCATGGTACTTTAGTTTCTAATTCCCTGAACACGTCTGGCTTGGTCCAGCAAGCAGAACTCTGAAAACGGAGTGAAATGAATATTGTAAGACTTTCAGTTCTTTTCCTATCTAATATTCTGACACTGTTGACACCTCTGTGGTTAATCGACATTAAATAATTAAAGAATTAAAAGATTTATATTTATTTGCCACAAAATTACCATGCAAGTTATCTCAAGACTCATTAGCCAAAGAGTGTCCATGCACATGTGCGATAATAGATGCTGCACTTTGCATATGCCAGATCATTTCCTTTATTTATTTTTATGTTTATGCCAGTTCATTGACGTTGCCTTTCACTGGGTTGCTATTTACTTTTTGCTGCTATTGAGATTTTGCTCACTTGAACCCGAAGCCATCCATCTACTTGACTTCCTACGTGCCTTTACCTGCCTGTAAGCTTGCACAATCAATCAAAAACACTCCAGTCTGCCTGTTTTCTGACCTTGTTTTGGTCCTTCCTATTGCTCACACTTCCATCTTTGACAGACTGTCAGGAAGAGACATCACTCTGGAAATGTGAAATTACTGCCTCAGGCGTAGGAAATGTGGTATTACTGTATATTTTGTTTTCTTTCATCTCGAAAAAAAGGTTTTGGTGACCACTTCGAGGTTATAGGCCTATTGGTATACAATGGTACTTCGATCTGCTGTTGCACTATTAATTTTGGCAAGACATTCACAATAGTTAAAGCATAAGTCATGATCAGAAAATTGTGGTTGATAATTCATGGGGTTGTTTTTGTTGTTGTTTGTTTTGTGTTTTTAAAATGCAGATTAATAAGTGGAACTAATTTTCTCAGACAGTTTTATCATAGTCGTTTTGGCTGAATGTGTACTTTTACCCTGACCTTATTGTCATAGAAAAGCTTCTATGCCTTAATATGATAGGTCAATTTCAAAAACACTCTCTTGAAACTATACATGTAACGGAATCATGTTAATATTTGGCCACAATTCAGGGCGGGTAAATGTGTACCATGAGGTAGCTTGGATCTATTGAGTCAACCATTGCTTAATGGTGCACAGCATATCTCCTGTTAATATCTAACAGGAGATTTAGCAAGTCATGCTGCCTTGTAAAAAATACAAAAAAAAAAAAGCAAAAGCACAAAATGACAGCATACGCCTTTTTTATACTTACAACACTGAGTTTTGTGAATGTGAAATTTGAAGAGTTAACATTCATTCATATCATTTGTCGTTGTTATTTACCTGGGCAGGCACAGTGGGGTGTTTCTTCTTCAGATGAATCCAGTGAAACAGACTTGCAGAGTCAGTTACCATCCTTTGTCTTTTGGCAGCACAAAAACAAAAATCTCTTCCTGTATTGAACCAGTTAATTCTTGAACATTAATATGTTTCAACAATGGAGGTCTTGGCTTCACAGTGGGACATGATGTAGAGACAAAGGCTTTACATGGTTGGCCCTGTGAGGACATGAAGGTACACGATGATGGTGATAAAGAGGAGGCCCTGCTGATGTGAACAGGATCAAGTTGAGCCCTGATTTAGCAACAGGACAGGCTTTGTGTTCAACGTGAGGCCCTGAGACGGAAGCAGCATAGGTCATGTGAATTGTCAGTGTTCATCACCACGGTTAACGTGGACGTCATTGTTCCATTACAACAACATGTCAACATTTGGAGGCAGAGTTCAGAATTGGACACACCATTAGTGCTGCCCTAATCAGACTTACGGACTTGCCTTGCACTCATTAATGAACATCATTATCTGGTGTAAAAGGGAACAGAGTGAACCTTTAAATAGAACTAAGGAGTAGATCCCCCTAAATGAGGACCACATGCGAGGGTCCACCACCACACCCTCTATTCAGCTCTCTTGATGCCTCCCAGCAGAATTGCATGACTTGGAGCTGAAGTCCAAGACTCTCAAATCCTCAGCCAAGAAATCAAGCAGCCATGCCCTTGTTACCACGACCTGCTGCTCCTTTTGGTGTATTTTGAGATCGACATTCAGCAGAGCATGGCGACCTTTGCACCAGAACTAAACACAGCTCATGAGAGGAGTTATCCAGAAATCAGAAGATCTGACTCACCGTTCATTATCCCTTCAACATGAGGAGGGTAAGGCGAGTCCTGCTGTCCCATGGTGTATACTGGGACACAGGGGACTGATTTATTAGCCACATGCCAGACATTAATGATGGAGGTTTATTTCATAGCACAGACACATGTACAGCTGGTTTCAAGTGTGGTGTTACATTTCATGACAGTATTATTTAAACTTGAACAAATTATTTTTATAGAAATCAGAAAGCATTTATGAATACACGTAACAAAACACTCCTGATTATTATGAACAAGCAGTGAAATATGTTTGTGAATCAGTTTGAGACCAAAACAGAATATAAATAACTCTTAGAGTTACAAGCTTACCATTTCCAACAGCTGTTACATGACACTTTTTTGTTTTGAGACATGATGTTGTCATCAAATTATCTATTTCCATAAAATCTTTTAATTTCCAATTTCAACATTTAATGTATATTGTCTTTTTTTCCAAGTAATCTTGAGTTTATATGGTTTGTGACACATCAAATTCAGTTTTTATCAACATTACGCAGTGTCGTAACAGTGGGCGTAAGTTCAGACCTGGAGACCACTCCTTAAAGGTCTTATCTTTGAGTTACCACATTTTTACTTTGGCTTGTTTAATCTCAGACAAACCTTGGATTTTGTATCAATGCCACAACTGCGACTTATCACAAAATTACACATTTTGTTTTTCATCCATGACATATTTGCGAGAATTGAATTCAGTCCATTAATAACAAAAACTTGTTTGTAAAGGACCATGACAAGACTGCTAATGTGTAATACAAACACTGGTTGAGTAGATGTTGAAGCTTATTTCAGCCACTGATTTCTTTTTGCACATAAAATACAAGAGGGAATCCAAAAAGATAAATTTTTGCAATAATTTTTGAGTTCTTTGCCAAGAGGTTTTTAATGTAACGCTCATGTAAACAAACATGCTGTAAAGACAACTGTATATGAAAGAGGTGAATGTGGAGACAACTTAATATATTTTTCTGTTCATGTTTTTAGTCTTTTAGATCAAATTCAGGTGTACCTAGGTTTTAATGTTTTACATCTCATCAGTGTTAACCCACACTAGTCTTTGTCTTGATCCAATCTCAAACTCCTGGTTAACAGTGACTCAGTTACAGAGGTCCTCACTAAAACACGACCACATACTGTAGAAAGTGACTCCCCCAGTATTCTTATTTAATGTCAAAGACACTTTTCATGTACAATGTTCATTACTGGAAAAACGACATGTAATGGCGCACGGCACCTTTTGTGTTAGCATGAATGATCGAGATTAAAGTATTCGAAAACTCAAGAACAAACTGGTGGTTATTAAATGTATTAACAATACAAAACTGCATATTTTATACACAGATAAAGAAACTTTACAAGAAGCTTTGAAATTAAAAAAGGTGTATCATATTGTCAAATGGGTTCAGGTAAATATAGAGTATCAAGCTTGAAAATGTGTTTTTTTTTGGAGTTGATATCATATCCCTCAACAAAAATATCAGTAATAAAAAGACAGGGTAGCATCACGAGGCAGGAATAATAATGCAGAGTCATAATCAAAGTGCTTGGTGAAAGGATGGAGTTGATGAATGTGTGAAACAATCGGTGATTCTTTAGTTTAAAATAGCTCTCAAACGAAGAATCATTCTGCAGGCAGAAATAATCTCATTGGTTGAGTTAAAAGTTGGGGCAAAGCTAGATTACACTTATGTTTGAAGCTCATTCAAAGGTAAAATGGATGGGAATCTGAAGCTGAAGGATTCTTGCTCATGCTAAATTTATGTAGCCTAGCTAGCTAGCTAGTTCATCTTTATTTATGACTTTGAAATCTGAATGAAATAGAAACGATATATGAATGCCACGTTTCCTGCCACTAGATACTCGCTGTGAGAAATCTGAATTTAGAAAACAGTGCGCGTGTTACAGTAAAGCACTGGAGCTTAAGTTGGTTTCCACTTACTTGTACTAGCAACTTGCTGTTACCTACACTCAGCTAGTCACAGGAATGTGTGATAAAGCTTTAAAGAAGTAAGTGTATCATTGACTGTACTATCAAGGCTACGTGATGGGAAAGCAGATACAATTGCAGAGGATAGTTTTGTTACAGGTAGATTTTTAAAGTGGATATGCCCACTTAGCATTTCTCTCAAGGACACACCCACCGGGAAGCTCCTATTGATTTTCCTTCCCCTGAAAAATGTCCATTTAACTAGTGGGCTTTAAAGCTGAACAGTGATAAAACTGAGGTTTTCTATTGACACCTGTATATGATACTAAGGAGCTTTATGGGATGACAAGCATGGAAAGCTACTCTTGTCCCAGACTAACATGACAAAGGGTGAAAATGAGAATTACAGATCTTCTTTTACTGATGCCTTTTACTGTTGATGTATATCAGTGTATGTTTACTTGAAAGAGCAGAAAAAGCAGAGTAATTCCCCCAAAATCTTAACTATTCATGGCTATGAATAAGGCCTGATATTTACATTAGCCCTGCCTTTATACTATAGGTATGCAGAAAAGTCTCAGGTATGGCTAAAATGCAGACCCTATGTTGTATACTGATGTGCACCTTCCCAGAAATATCAACAATCCAGATCACAACAATTGCAATCATTTCACTCGGTAGCTTTACACTACCAGACACTTTTTAACTCTCTTTTACCAGAGTTAAAAGGATGTACTGTGAGTGTATACTTTTTGGTTGCAGTTACTTGAGTACAAATAGTTCTCATTTGAAATGTATTGACTCTTCTTGGCCTTGGGAACAATTGTTGCTAGCAAAAAAGTCCCAAAGGTCAATGTGGTTGTCTTAAAACTCTCCTGCGAACTAGGGTTTGGGTGGGTGCACCATTACATAGGAGTGAATGCTAATTACTTTGATAGCCCTTTATCTAGGCTACCCCTACATTCTGTATAGAGCCCAACCAACCCAGACTGAGCTATCTTCTTTTTACTTGAAACAGATTGACAGGTTATCTTATGTGTCATAAAGTACGGTTTTGTTTGATGATGGACTCCACCTGTTTTTGAGCAATACCTTTGGTTTACAGTGATCCTCGTTCTCATGTTCACCTGTAGCTTGAGTTACACAAAACTTTTTTTTTCATTTACAAAGTTCAATTGTATAGATAGGAGATAGCAGCAACCAAGATCAAGACCTCTTTATAAATGTGTTCAAAACAGACTCATCTAAAATAACCTCAGAAAGAGATATCAAGACTTGATTGACCTGAGGATTTTGCAGACTTAAGGTAGCTTCCACTAAAATGTCATCCAGTAAGAGGTCAAAAATGCAAGCTTCAAAATGCCCTGATGGAGATCAGCATTGTGTTAAACAGTTAATCTCGTTTATCAAACTCCTTGCTAATCAAAGAACAAAAATCTCTGCGTTCCCAAGTTTGTCTTCATGAGCTTTAACTCAACCTGTGAGATTGTTTCCGCTGTCTGCTGTCAGCACAGAAAAATCTTACAGTCACATCCCAAAACACATTTAAAGTCATGTGTGATCCGTACACTGTGAGGTCAGTTGTTTAAATAGCATGCATTGGTAGTGAACGGCTGGTGTAGGTTCATCCTTTGTCCTGTTGAGTCCAATATGGCTGCTGTCAAGTCTGAGTGTCTTCTTTTGATTTAGGTGCCACACTGGCAGACCTATTGTGAGTGTATCTATAGTGAATCTGTACCTCACTGTTCAAGAAAGTTAATCTGATAAGTGAGCTGATGGCCATTGTCCCAGGCGTACAAAACCTTCTCCTTGGGGTTGTAGTCAATCTGGGTGGTGAAGGAGTACTCATTGGTGAAGGGCAGGCGTGGGATGGCTTCAGTGTTGGTGTGCGTGTCATAAGCATAGTTCACCTCACCCTCTTTTTGATTGTACACATCAACCGCATACAAGACACCACAGATTATGAAGCAGTTCCCGTAGGAGTTACGTTTTAGACCTGTCCTCCAGGTTGTGTCCTTTTTCAGTGACAGGTCTCCAGGATCCAGTTTACTGATGACGATCACCTCTTGCTGGTTATAATCGTAGTCTATCGAGGGGTAAATTACCCACAGGCCACTTTCATCAACTGCAAAGTCAATGTCTGAGTGGCCCCTCCATTTCCAGGGGGTGGTGTCCTCATAGACCACGTCATGCAGCAGAGTCCAGGCGGCTACATATCGCATCCTCAAATCGTACTTGATGATGTTCTTGGTGAAAGCTCTGTTGTAGTAGAAGGCTCCATTATAGACGACATGGCCCGTGCCAATCCAGTTGTAGGGCAGTTTGAAAAGGTTGCTCCATCGGCCTACAAAATCCAAGTACATCATGTTAGCTATAACATTCATTCACCATTCTAATTCACACAAAACAGATCAGCATTTTATCGCTTGTAGAAACATATTTTTGTGTAGTACACGATGCCGATAGATCACAACAATCACGCATCCTCTAGGTTTATGCTTAAGACAAGGTGACCAGATTTCTGAAATGAAATCCAGGGACCTACCTACCCTGGCTGCCACAATAACCTAATAACCGTTGTTCTAGTTGGCACGTGACATTTTTCTCATTCATGATATCAGGGACATTTCCGGGGACGGCTTTAGCTGGGAACAGGTCATTCAAAACAGGGACCCAATTGCCCTAGCTTAAGGCCGGATTTTGACTCACTTGAAGGACAAAATGTCTTAAGGGCAACAGCTTGTCCAAACATTATTCCAAGTGCATTATTCAATCATTATTCGTGGGTAAAATTAAATCTTTTCATATGTAAGAGGATATTTTTTAATGCAGCATAAAGTAAACCCCTTTAGGGTTTAGGGCTTATCTGTATAATATCTTTCAGTAGTTATGAGTTGGATATAACCAGCAGTGTGTGTGCTTTGCTGGTATTATGCCCTTCAAAGAGCCAATGACAATGTTTTTACAGTGTCAGACTGTGTACACACTGGCTTCATATGAGAGTGACAGAGTTTTTTTAACAGTTCACTCCTGAGTAAACACGTTGTGTACTGTAGGTGTCACTTTCTAATCACATCCTATCTGGTTTCCTAACCTTCCAACCTCAGGAAGTGCGATTTAGATAATGATAATAAATGGAAAGTCCAGTGAAGGACAAAAACAACGGGCCGTAAAACACTCTCACTCCATCCCCACCCCTAAGTCCAGCCCACACGCTTAATCCCTCTCCACTGTGCCCAGTTCAAAGGAAAGGCCAGAGCACATGTCAGGGCACAGCGGGCACCACTGCAACTCCAAATACCAAGTCATCCGCACACAGCTGTGAACTCACCACACTGCAGGATGCCTCACATGTAAGTGCATTTAGAAAGCAGATTGTCTAAACACATCTAGATCAACAAGCCAAGTCCTGTGAGGGGAGATCATCTTAACTCTCTTAAAGAGTGTAATCCAATTCCTCAGTTGATTTGGATGTGGAAGGAGTTGATTTTCCCACCCACTGAAGCCATGAAACAACCAAACCTACATTCCTCAGATCTCATCAGTCTCAAAGAGCTGATTGGATAATCAACATGAATCAGTGTCAGTGATGTTATTTGAGAAAACACAGCCTTATCACTAAAACAGAGAGGTACTAGAGGTAGACCAGTATGTTGGGATCATTGTAGTGTTTACAGTTAAAAGATGGAAATCAGAGGAAAGTCAAGATATCTCTCGGTTTATGAACGCAGATGCCAAACTAAACCTACCGAGAAGCTGCTTACCTACCAAAACCAAACCATAAAAAGAATATATTTAAGTATTAAAAAATACTTTAAATTAGTAACTTTTAGGGCTGCCCCCTAAAAGGAGACCATTCAAACCCTTAGTTGAGAAGACTATGTAGACTTTGCCCCCTGAGCTGTTGGGGGTCAGCGCCCTTCTGAAGGGTCCCTCATGAAACAACATCCTTTCATCGAGTCTATCCTACAGACCTTGACCCATGACAGGGCTTGAGCTAGTTGCCCTCCTATACACAAGTTAGGTCCCCACAGAGTAAACTACTGCCTTAGCTACTGATGCCCCAATGTGATGCCTCAGTGTTTTAACCTGATATGGATCATCAGCAAAATTCTCTAACGACAAACAAAAACCTTTCAGATATTGAGCATAGTGTTAGTTCAGGCAGGCCACTGAGTAAAGCTCAGCTCAGATGTACTCTGTTCAGTCTGACTGTTCATTTCTGCTGACCTCCACTGTTTCATTCATTGTTTTGAATTATTTTGTGGACTCATTTGTTTGTCTTGTATTGACCCTCTCTTGTAAGGTGGCCTTAACTATAAATAAAATGCATCAATCTAAGAAGAATTGTATTTGTGCAAGTTGAAAAACAGGAACTGGATTTCTTTGCAGCCTTCAGATGCCCAATAAGTGGCACCTGATGGACATTTATCATTGCAAGTCAATCAGTGAGCGATACTGGGTTTCTTTGGTGGGGCTAAAAGAACCCTTTGAACACAATGATGCAGTAGAGCTTAAGACTTAACCGAGGATGAATGAGATAATGTCAGAAAGGCCCACCTTGTTTGAAGTTGTCCAAGTTGCGAAACTCCACCAAGTTGTTGCCATAGTAGTAGTTAGTGACATAGATCTTGGAGTCCTTAGCCAGGGGATCCTTCATCCAGGCTCCCTCGTTGCGCCCGTAACTGTGCTGCTTCTCTGGCTGCTCAATGGATCCCAGAGTCCCTTCACAGTTGAGGATCTTTCCTGAAAGAAACAAGCAGGAAGTTTAACACAATTCACACTCGTTTCAAATTCATTTCTCTCAGAAATTTGTTGGCAGACTCTACAAGCTTTAAATGATCTACACTGAGCTCATTCACAGTGGGTTATTCAGCGTGTACCTGCTCTGTGCAGAGAGGGTCGACTGTTGTTGTTGGAGTTGTCAAGCACCAGCACAATGGTTGGAGCTGGTCTTTCAGGAGCTGATGCACTTTGTGTGGTGATGGTAGTTGGCGCAGTTGTGGTGGTGGGAGTTGTGGTGGTTGTAGTTGTGGTGGTGGTGGTAGTTGTTGGGGGGGCTTCAGTGGTGGGATTTGGCTCAGCCACGGTGGCATCCATGGTCTCCAGGACCATTTCAGCTCCTCCATCCTCTGACTGGTTTTCTGTGACATGATGAACTGTGTATGTTTTTGCAGGCTGGTCTGAAAGGGAAAAGAGAGAAAATGTAGATTCAGGCAAAATGCAGACGATTGCCAAGAAAGCCTGGACAGTGGTGAGTAAACAGACCATGTCCATTATCTTAAAAAGGCCAGAGGTTCTGCATAAGCTCTATAAACAGGTTGTTTGTATGAGCACAAACTCTACACACTTATCATGACATGTTTGGTTTCTGTTCGTAGTTTAGGATATTATTGTCCACAAGCTTTTCAATAAGTGTTGGCTGTTCACAAGAAAACCGTGATTTGAAGTTTTGATGCAATTCCAGAACAAATTACAGTCGGCGAATCAGACTCCATGTAAGTTTCTGTAAGTTTCTCAAGTTTCTAGTTGGGTTGTACCTAATATACACATGCACAATCAAGAGTGTTCAATGCAAATACTTATTGTGACAATATTTCTTCAGGTCATTTTACAGCAGTACTTAAAATGTTATTAGCGCAAAAACTGTCACATTTCCTGTCTCTCTTTGACTGTCCTCTCTAATGGAGAAAAAAAATAATGCTCACTGGTATAACAAAAAGCTCACTTGTTGTAATTTCCCATCAAAACGTAATAAACAAGAGAATCTTTTGAAAACAGTCATTTACTTTTTAATCAACGGTCTCCATTGGCCGCATGCTTGCTACTTCTTTAGTGGTTTCATTCTTCAGAAGTCCCTTGGGACTGCGGTTTAACACTGAGCAGGCTTATTCAAAAACATGGTCTGCTCTCCTTATGGTCCTCGTACTCTGTTGTCCCGGGCTGTCAGGCAGATGTGGGAATATAACATCAGTAGTTTAAAGTACTGCATCTCCCTGACACACGTAATCTCAACATATGGATCTGATAAGAGTTGGACAAGCAAAAAGTAAAAGTAACCTTTTTGTGAAGATGAGGAAGTTTTAATTGTTACCGGAGCATAAGTGTCTCATAAAGTTCATGGCTCTGTGTGGAGCGAACAGTTGTCAAAGGACATCTTAGTTCGGAAACGCAGATGGGAAGCATGTTGCACCCATTTGTTGCTTTGCTGTTATATAGATCACAGTCCCCTTCAAGTCCTATTAATACTGGAATGATGATCAAAAAACTAGTCAATACCAGCTTTTTTTCATCCCTTATGTCTGATCTCAGATGGTATACTCAGATGTTCTGAAAGGAAATAATACAGCACCAGAAAACATTTATGACACTGTTATGTTTTTTTCAGTTTGAAGAGAATAGAGAGATCTCCGTTTTTTTCCTCTTTCGCATCTGTTTCGTTCCTGGGAACTGGAGGTAAAGAACTTTACTGCTTTCAGTTTTTTGGTTTTTCCATTGGTAGGTCATATCTATAAGATGTCCAAACTCTTATGCTTATTTTCTTTTTTTCTGCAACTACCACCAATAAGCCGCTGACTGAGCTGATTTACCTCTCCAACTTGAAAGTAAAGAACAGGGTCCAGGGTGGGTAGATTTTCCATTTGGTGAATATCGTTCAGAAGGTTATCTAGGTACATGTTTGTGCCACTGTAGCTGTCTTTTAAAGACAAAACTTGGCCATGCCATCACCCCACTTTTGGTGTGACATCTATTTTTTCACTGTCTGCATGTCAGAGTATCACAGGGTCAGGCTCCCACACTCAAAAACAGCACGCATATCACTGTGCAGCACATCAGTCAACAAATGTGAATGTGAAACAAATGTGTATTTGACAAAAAGGGAACAATAAAGATTGTTATTCACAACGCTTTTTTTTTTTTTTGACAACCAACTTGGCCGGAAACTCAAAAAGGTGATATCGGACCCTGTCACAGTGCAATGGTTCCATAGGACACATCCCTGTTAAATGTTTGTAACTGTATCCAAGTTTGAAGACAGGCATGTCAGGAGTTGTATCAGTCTTCTCTGAATAAATAAAGCACTTTGCCTCAGATTATGGAAATGCAGCTGACTGGTTTCAGTAATTTCAAAAGGGTGGCCGAGCCTGCTGAGGGTCACATACGTGGCAGAACACATGGTCTGACAGCATTGTGCGTGTGCCCTGTGCAAACGCGGCATACCTATTCACTCAACTAGACTTAAAGAGGATTGGAAGGAGTCAGGAAATGTTTTCTCTGCATTGGTGAGGGTCCCCACACATTGTTGTGAAAAGTGAAGCTGAGGCATGTCATGGACATGGCAGCGCTCCATTGAGACAGCATTCCATCAGCTCCATGTATTTTGTCCTAAAAGATTTGGATTTCCTGCTCGCTGAATGAGCACTAGTTATCCTGTGCTGACTAGACCAGCTGTGTTTAAAACAACACTGGAATAAATCCTGTATTATTGGGTGGATCTTGTGTGCCCCACAGTGATTGATTCCTTTTTCTATTGCTTTGCACTCCAGTGTTAAGTTTGCCGCACAATTACTGCCTTATCTCACACTTGTGTGAAACAACATTGTCCTTTGAACCCCCTACTGGCAGCTACATCCATTTAAAATATATCTGAACTGTTACTGTGTGGCTCTTGAACTGCTGGCTGATCCTGATCCAGCACAATGCCATGTGGGGTCACATGGCATTGTTGGATTGGATCATGTTCAACACCCACACCCAGGTTGATGAATGCTCTTGTAATGTCTATGCTTTGATGTATGCGTGGAGGGGTGAATGTGTCTAGATATATCTTATCTTTTTCTAGTAATCTTAAGACTTTTATTTTTATATGATGCACTGACTGGAGAGCACTTTTAATTTCGTTGTACTTGGTGACAATGACAATAAAGATCTATTCTATTCTATTCTATTCACAGTGGATCACGTACAGACAATCGTACACAGATAGGACTGCATATTCAGCTTAAGTGAAAGCACGCTGCCCGCTTTAGCTTACAAAGGGTGGTTATCTATGAGCACTTTTCTACGCCCGGTCAAGTTGATATCTCTCACCTCCTCTGTGCTCATCATCCTCGGTCTTGGCAGCTTTGTAGTATGTGATGCCTCTCACCACGCCAGGCTGGTGGCCAACCTTGGTTTTGGCTGTTGGGTCAGGCTTGACCGGCCTCCCAGATTTAACAACCTCTTTCTTGGGTTTTACTACCTTTTCTTTAGGCAGCTTGGGTGGGGGTTTGGCTGCGGGGCTCTTTTTGTTGGGTATTTTTACAGCCTCCTTGGTCTTCTCATCATTAGTGTCCTGCAAACAAAGATATTTTGGTTAGGTAAGGCTACATCTAACTGGTCTCTGTCTTTATCATTATTAGTTTTTGGTTGACTCTGTTCATGAAAGACTGAATGTGCACCATCTTGTTCAAAATAACCCTGCTGATAATGTTCCAAGAGTTTCCATAAATATGTGATTTCTTCAGTATCAGCATTTGATATGTTGTTTTTGCACTTTTTTAATGAACTACTATCAAGTTATGTTATTTGATACAGCATCTCAACTTCTCTTGAATTGAGCTAATATGGCAGATGCTACCAGTTTAACAGTTTTATTACTGTGTCCACTGACGTCATTGTTGTAGCTGTGTAAACAGAGGAGCTTTAGAGGAACTGGAGTCAAAGACAGGTTGAGTTTCTTTGACATGACCAAATCGTGATACTGTAACAAATAAGTCTGGGATTTGACTTGTGTAAATTACTGAGATTCTGTTTTCCAGCGGTTGCAATCCTCTGCTAATCCTGCACTTATCGCTGGCACTGATTTTAAAATGCTCGTAGTCTTCTACAGGCAGTCGTCTTTCATCTTGATATCATGTTCAGGGTGAGAAGTTGCAATGCTGTCGTCAAAAGTCAAGACAATGTCAAGTGTATGTAAAGCACAAAGAAGAAATAGTGAAAGCTGATGCTGATACTGCTACTTAAAGTATAACATGTTCTTTGACTGATTTGTGTATTGCACAACCACAGAGTTGTCTCTAACCTGAGCTTTGCTCTCGGCTGAGTCTTTCTGCAGCAGCTGCAGGCTGAGGCTGGAGATCTCCTTTTTGATGCTCATCATAACATTGGAGTAGTTCTCGTATCTCTTGAACTGGTTGGTGAGGCTCATCATACTGTCCCGAACAAATTCATTCTCACGTGTGAGGTTTGTCTTGATTGTCTGCAGAAAAAAAACACAGTTTTATCATGGCTTTAGTTCAACGTTGAGGTATCTTTTGATTACGCTGGTATGAAGACGTACATGAGTGTAGTTATTTGCTTACCTCTTCTAGTGTGTTCATCTGATTCACCACCTTGTTGATGTAGGAGTGAACTTTCATGAGATCCATGCTGTAAAGTGTTCCCTCGAGAAGGTCCACCATAGATTGGAGCTGGTCATTAAAGCCATAAAAGGAGAGAACTTGTGTTATTTACCTTCCGCTGAACACAAACCTGACAGTTTTACATTCCTCAGGTCAAGCTGGAGTAATAAGCCTAAGTACCCTTTAAAAAAATTTGCAGTGATTTCCAATATTGACACCCAGTCTCCACCCAATAGGACGCTGAGTGCTCTTGGTCTCGGTCTCGGTTCATTTCTGCCTGTCTGTTTGAACACAACTATTTCCCTCAGCGATTTATTGGGTTAATCCATAGTTTAAAGTGGAGTCAGATCAAACATCTGCCTTTTGTTTAACAGGGTGCATAGCGTGCTTCTCATGCCTGCAAGAAATGAAGGAGTGCTTTGAGTCCGTGCGAAGAAGTGCTGACGTGTCCACATTAGATGTTTGATGGCATGTAACTAGAGGTCACAGAGGGTTGAGGAATGACTTTTTTTTTAGCTGTGTATTCAGGGAGTCATTGTTTTAACCAATTTTTTTCTGTTCTTTCTTTCAACAAATACTGTCACTCCTTTTCAACAAGTTTCTTTGTTGTGTTGACATGGTTTCCAATTTTATGGCAAAATCTATCAGTGTTGCACTTTTTACAAACTATACAAAAGAACTATTTAAAAAAAATAAACTTAAATAATTGTGGTCTTTGTTGTTTTAAACATTATGTATGAATCATAATAGACTTTATAATTCTTAGATTTTTAAGTAGATTGTAAGAGACAGAGAGTGTGTACACCCACCATCCCTGCCTATGTCAGAACTTCGGGTAGGTCACCCCATTCCAAAAAGTCTGGACACACCCCTGCTGCTGCCTCAAAATCATGCACTCTAACCATCAGTTATGAGTAATCCATCAATTTGATTTCTTTGTTCTGAATCATTGTTGCTGGTTTTTGTTTCACCTGTTGCAGTAAACAGAGATCTGCTCCAACTACATAGCTCACTGTGAACTTTTCACACAATTCTATAAGGGGTTGAGAGACTTTTTATCCAAACTCATAAAAACTTTAAATAATTAGTTAATAGGGTGCTGAAGGCCTTGGAGTCTAAGCGTCATATATATAGGGCTTCAGTTCTTGCTGCAGAGGCTGCTGGTTTGACTTCCTCTGCTCTCCACTCCTCCACATTTCCTTTAAATCTGTCAGGGTGCCAGAATTTTTGGTAGACTGACAAAGAAACGTTTTACACATTCAACAAAGCATTGATAATTTTGGTGTGGTAGTGTTTTGATGAAGTTTATGCTCAGTTTGGCACAGTTTCAGTGGGACTGGAATTTTTTGACCAAAACTTACAGTGATCAAAAATATTTAATAAAAAAAGAGCAATTTTCAAGATGACCAAATACATTTTTTTAAATACATTTTGGCACCAAGCTTAATCTTAATCTCAACTCACCTTCAACAACTCAGGGGCCTGCTTTTTCAGCTTCTCCATCTTCCACTCATTCTCACAGGGGTTAAGGGAAGATGGTGGGGCCGTGCAGGAGCACTTACAGTCAGATCCAGAGCTGACAGTCTCCACTGTGTAGAAATCCTCGACACGAACACTGCCGCTCTTCAGTCGCAGGCATGCATCTTTGCTTAGAGGTCGCATGATGCACTTGCAGCGACAGTCTGAGCCCTCTGATGTCATGCGGACAGGCTCTGTCTCCCCAAAGATCTGAAAGACAGGATGTGGGAGATCCAGTTTTTATTAAAATGTATTTTTGGTACTTTCATCTGGTCTTGACACAATAATATGCTCCCCACTTTGACCTATAAGTACCACTTAAAGGGACAAGGTGTAAATGTTTCTCAATTGTGGCGCAAGGCGTTTCAGGTCAGAGTAAAAGTTAACACCTCAGACTGTATATTCTGGATTTTACTGTGTAATTATCAAAGACAGTGGATTATTTTCAAAGTGTATAAATTATAGGTGTATGGAGAGGTGTGATATGTCTACTTTCATCTGTGAATCCGGACTTTCTTACACCATCTGTTCCATTCGTCTCACCTCTTCCATGAATAATAAATCCATTTTTATAGTGGGAAACCAAAACAATGGAAGGAAAGTGATCCTGAAGAATAACCTCATGCTTCCTCTTTTTTGAACATGAGCTGGTGTGACTCAGAGCAAAACCTCAGAGACAAATTCAACTCACAAAGACCTGCAGCACCAGCTGGCCTTTGGCTGCCATGCATGATGACAGAGCTTTGGCAGGGCCACGGCCGCGGCTTATTTAATAAACAGGAAGAAATGCATTGCAGCCCCAAACGCACATTCTCCACACATTTCCTATGAGAGACGAGCACAAGCTGGCAGTAGAGATAGCCTTCACACAAGAATCCATTGACAGAGATTTACTGCTGACCTGATAAAATCAGGTGCTGATGGTGAGTTGGCAGGGTGAGAGTAGAAAAGAACTCTGTAAATTTTCTTCACTCTTTCTACTAAAATCTGCTTTCCCCAGTTCACAGAGAATGTGAAATTGGATCAAAAATGGAAAAGCTTTGATAAAATTATAATAGCTATGCCTTTTCAAACTTCCACTTTAGGTAACTGATCTGAATTAAGATTGTTTTCAACCAAAATTGGACCTTGATTCAGGAGGCAGAGATTTGATCCCTTTGTTGAACCAATAATCAATGCTGTCAATTAAGTTAAGAAATATACATCAGTTTTGTGACCCTTTTAGATGAGTTAAGTACATACATAACTAACGCTGTATTCATGTGCTCCCAAGTGTCTGAGTTGGGAAGTTGTTCCTCTGTCTTTAGTGAGCTTGTGTCCTTTCAGTTTGAAAAATCATAACAACAACAGCATACGCCATAGAGGCTATGAAGAAGTTTAGTGGGATGTGATTACATGATTTGCTGATAGTTGTTTTCAGTATTCATTTTTTACAACAAAAAGCAAAGGAAGCTGATCAGGTGGGCCATGGCATATGGTTAATTTTTAAATATGCAGCATCGTAAACATTACAATTTCTGTTAAAAAGTATTCAGTATATGAGTTAATCAACACGTTACCTTTGTAATGGGTCATGGTCACTCTATGTTGACAGTGGCAATGTAGTTAGTATTTAAATTAGAGATATCAGCTCCAATGTTGACAAATTAACTGGATCGGAAATCTGATGAATGACTGATCCAGTGTTTTTTTCTTTTAGTTAATATCATACACAGGAACACAGCCATTCTGTTCGCTCTATAGTCTATGTCTGTCTATCCTTTTGCACTAAATTTTTACATAGAAGTCTTATTTCTTTTTGCTGTGTGCTAATGCGCAATTTGTTATTTGCTAAAAAATGATCTTAAATAAATTTATGTCTGTGTTAATTTGTTACCCTTTTTTTTAAACAAGGCTAATGTCAAGCCTGGGCAAAGTATACAGTTCATTCATTCAACAGTAGTACTGGATCGGTATCGGATATCGGCCGATACGCTCAGCTCAGGTATCGGATTGGATTGGAAAAAAAATTGATCGGTGCATCTCTAATTTAAATCAAGCTCGGGCAATCAAGTCACATGCAAAATACCACTTTTAGTGTAATACTAAAACAAATAATGCTAATAATAAAAAAATAATAGCATAATTATCTGCATTAACAATTACCTTATGGGACTTAAGGGGCTTTGCACTTTCATGCACATTATCAAGGTCGTTCATTTTTAATATTTGCGTCCAATGAGCCAGAAAAAGTGCACTAAAATGTTTCAAGTACCTCTTTGATCATAACAAGTAAATACATGATGGATGTTGGGCTTGTAGGGAAGGAAGCAACGATGAGGTTAGGTTTCCAGAATTGGAAAGTGTGATTTGGTCATGTTGGTGTTACATTAGTGAATTTTTAACAATGGAAGAAGTCTTTCAGTAGGGCAACAGCAGGAGGAAGGTAATGGGAAGGAGAGGTGGAGGTGGAGGTTGTGGGGGGCTCATTAGTGAAAGAATGCAAGCTGACTGATGGGGGAAGATGTGACGGGGGATTGTGCTTCCCCTTCTATTACTGCAGACACACTGGGAGGGGGTCTGATATGGGGCAGGACTCCTGTGAGCACAGCCGGGCCAATCCTGACCCATGTCAAGCGAAAAGGCAGCAGGTTGACAAATCCTACAGCCACATGAAAACAGAGTGGATTAGCAGATTAAACTTCTTTAGCAGAGACTATGCCCACGGCCATGCTGAGCTGCATTGTTCAACCTCAGTCAAACTCTGAATGCTGCATAGCAACATCAGCTTAAGTCGCTTTGATTTGAAGAAGTCACAAATTCCTGCCAGATTTACTTTGGGCTTCATGGTTTGTCTGGTCAAGAAGGACTTAACCGCTACCTCACAGGCCTTTCAGCTGCAGACAGACTTCTGAATCTGAATCACTCTGCAATCCAGAGCAGTTTCCTCCTCCTGTCAAATTATATGTGCCGGTATGTCTAACTGACCGTCCAACAACTCATGCCAAGCTGACCTACCAGCATGAGAACAGGCAACACGATTTAGAGCGCTAATAATTAAGAGTAAGGAGTATTTAACGCATGCTTTGAGCTTTGAGTCTTTGGCTTTGACCTTTCAAGTGCAGTCAAGTTTGGGGTCAAAAAGAACACAGCTCAAACATGAACTCATGTCTGCACAAAGGGAGGAAAAGAGCCCGCATGCCGCAGAGAGCTCTATTAGATCAACCACTGCAGCCTCGAACAGCTAACACACCCTGACAGTGATGAAGTGAAACCCCAGTTGTGCTCCAGATTGCTAAAAACACAAGATGTGTTACACAAGGGCGGCTGCATTCATTAGCCTCAGAGTTTCAGCCGTGTTTCGGTAGCTCCAGTCTGTTTTATCTGCAGCCTTGCTCGTATAAACAAGGATATCCTCTGCTTTTAGTGCTCTGCCAACTGGCCATCGCCCGGACAGCTGTGTGGTGAAAAGGGCAGACAGTGCAGGTATCCTGTGGCACATTTACCCGCCCGTTCCAGCCTTCAAACACAAACAGTAATGCTGTGATTCCTGTTATGTCCTGAAGCTAATCCTGCCCCCACACTCCTCGTTGCTTTTTGAACAATTTTCCCACAACTAACACTAAAAAAATCCTCCATGAAAACCAATGCTAATCAGCCTTAAGCCTATAAGACTCTCAGTCCTGATAGATGAACTACGCCTTTAAAACCACATCATCTCCTGTCAAGTGTACTCAAGACCAAAAGCAAGGTCCACATTCCAGTCCAAAGAGTCTGCTTGATTTTTTAATCTAATTAGCGGTGCTTATGATAAACAGTCTTACTTGGCCACTGTAAGATTAACTTGGTACAAAGAGGGGATTCTATGAGTGCCCTCGGTCTGGAGATGAAATGGGAGGTCGGGGGCTCAGACTATAAACAAAAACACTAGCATTAGCACTGGGCTGCTAATTAGCCGAACACAAAGTGTATCAAGCACTCGCTGTTTTTGTGGGTACACATCCACATTCCTACTGGGTCTGTTTATGTGTCCAGATACTCTCAGTCATCACAACAGAGCATCACACAAAAAGAACAACAGATATCCTTCATAGACTTATTAACCAAGATAAACCAAAGGGCTGAATTGATCATTTCTATCAAGTCCCTTTTCAGGCTGTCTTACTATTCAGTGGATCCAATCTTTTACAAGACCCTTTTTTTCAATGGAGAATGGCAATAAAAAGATGTCTGAAATACTCAAGGAACCTCAGCTGGCAATCTAACGTATGGTTTGTTTATTTTTTTTTTCTTTGTCTTTTCATTCAAAGCTGACTGTGACATTTTTTTTATATCCTAGCTAAACTAAAAATAGCGATGGGGCTTCACCTGAGGAGGCAGGAGTTACTCAGTCTCCAGAGTTTTGGCCTGGGATCCAGAGGGTCTCCAAGCTCAGGTCTTAGCACAGCCTTAAGAACAAAAATCAGACAGGTAGCTGGAGAGATGCTTATTCACTTCTTTGGTACTGCCCTTAAGCAGGACGTATAGCACCCATCTGTGTGCACTCTCCTTAAGTACCTTTGTAAGTGCATGTCCATATCCTCCTGTCTGTGATGTTCATTTATGGCTTCTGCATATGATGCATGTTCAATAACAGAGTAATTTGAAGGGGGTACATCCTTCTAAAACAGTTATCAGAAAAGGTCTCTCAATACCGTTCCTCTCACTACACCCACATTCTTTAACAATCCATTAGTTTGCACAATTTATTTTCTAATTATGCGCATGTGTCTGGTGACTTTAACTATGAGAAGAATGACAGATGTTGCCAGTGCCTTCCCTCCACATGATTATTTACCGCAGATGTTCACAGGAGGCTGCAGATGTATAAATGTAGGAAATACTGACCTGCTTTAAACAAGAAATTTGCATTTCAGTATTAATACAACCTTTTGTTGATAGTGCTACATATCTACCTATTTATCGAGATTACCATTCATGTATTAATGCCAATACTAATCATTATAGAACGTCTGCTAAAGGCAACAATGGTTTGGTTGAATAAGGATCAAAATACATTATCTTAAAGCAGAGATAGAGGATATGTTTATCTTTTTGGGATTGTTTTTACAAAGTTATACTGACATATATTCTTACACTCAACATTTAAATATAAAACTTCAAAAATTGCTTGGTTGTTTAGTTTAGCATTAGGACCATTAAGACTGCAAACAGAAGGAAACTACATCGGCTCCAGCCCAAGGCGACAAAATGCACTTACTAAGACCTCTACAGCTCAGGCCCAGTGTTGGAGAATCCACCCTTGTTTGACAATGATCATAACAGTAGATCCAGCCTGCTCTGTAATACTCTCCACCAACTATGTTAATAGTTGCATCTTTGTGCATATCAACAACATTGCTGAAATGCCATGTCTCTGCCTCCTATCACAGCTTAAAAGAGATATCTACAGCTGGAATTGCTCTTGGTTTAATTAAGCAAAAGAACTGATGCACACAAACACACTCTGGGTGAAACCTTGCAGCTTTTCAGTCCAACTGTCAACCTTTTGAAATACAGTAAACCACAATCAGCTCTTACTATTGACTTGAACTCGTAATGCTGCCCATTGCAGGTCACTGGGTCAGTGCTTGTCATCCTTCACATCCTGAAAATAATGAGATTACAATCCAGCGGATGCACATCATAGTATTGGCAGATGTTGTTTTGGTACCCAAAGAATCTACTGTCTCTATCAGGACTAAACTCAAGAAAAGATCTGCTGCAGACAGTCAGATGCCGTAACCACTTTAATACTTGTTTCTGAGAGTTTCACAAGTAAGACTTCTGCAACTTTCTTTGGAGGGCCAGGATACACTCCAGCACATAGCCCCCCTGTAAAACCACAGACATTTGTTTGAACTCTGTGTTTTTGTTATCGTAGCTGTTTGTCTTGTTTTCACTGTTAATGATAAGATGCTGGCAGACGGCTCATATTAACTGTACAAACAGATCGCAATCTGTCTTCACCATTAACTCAGAGCAGGAAAGTAAATATGCGTAAGATGCCTCAAAGTACAAACACTACATTCCTGTAATGTGTAATTGGTTTAAGGCATATATACTTGTCCATTTATTCTTCAGCCCCTTACATTTTAATATCAACATCTAGACTTAATGCTACTATGAGTTTTGAAACATCTTGTCTTTAACTTAAATGGAAACTATTGGTTGTATTTAGACGCAAGAGGAAATCAATCTAAAAATTGGGAGATCACCTACAGAATATACATTATTTTTTGTGCGCCATATATCCAATGAAGTATGTAACTTTTTTTTTCTTCTAGACAGCAGACATCTACATCACGTTGTCTGTGATGGACAAGAGAGAACTTGTGGCTACACTAAAAGTTAATATTTATTACTTTCAGTTGTTTCTTAATCATACTTTGAGAAAGGGTAATTTACTATCAACGGTCTCTAAAACACAACTTGAGCTTTACTCAGCTTACAAAGAAACAGCCACAGTGATTCTCAAGAGGCCAACTAATTAATTGAATTTTAAACATGTATTTCCAATCTAGATTATTAGCCAATACTTGTTCTTCCAGCATTTTTACAAGGGGTGTAATAGATAAATCTGACAGCTTAAATCATTTTGCCTCTATGACATATCTGACACACCCATTTTGAATTGGCCAAAAACAAAACGAAAAAGAAATGTTTATTTTCAGCCGCTCACTAGGCTGTAAACTGACTCAAACTATACCTTTTCAGGCACAAATCGATGAATGCAACTCCATGCATCTCAACAATGCATTGCATTCTTAATCTTCAAGTTATGCACATATCCATAACTCCAATAATTTGAACTTTTTTTGGTAACCACAGCTCCAAAAGAGTGGGGATGCTGTGTGAAATGTTGATAAAAAAGAGAATTTGGTGATGAAATGCCAAATCTAGTTGTAGACTGGGTGCCAGATGGCTTGCTGTCCCAACTTGTCACCTATTCAAATCATCTGCAGTTTAAATCCTGAAAAAAAAGAACTAAAAATGAAAAAAAGGGACAGCAATTCAGCTTCAAAACAGATCTCCTTGGTTCCCAAACATCAACTATGTGTTGGTAAATATAGAGGTATTGCTACACAACAGTAGACATGTCCTTGTCCCAACCTTTTTAAAATTGTTGCTGTTATCAAGTTAAAAAAGAGCATATATTTTACATAAAACAATTAAAATGTCTGAGTCCCAACTTTCAGTATGTTGTCTGAACACTAATTTTGATTGACTGCAGGGTGGGTTGACATGATTTGTAAAACTTTATCTTGTACATTGTCCTGACTTTTTGGAAATTTGAGTACCTTTGAGAATATATGGGTGCAATTATAGCCTATGTATAAATAGCCACCTGGTCAAACAAGCATATTATCATTATATATAATCTATGTCTACAAAGTTGCACACTTTCAGCTCAGTAGGTAATGCATTACAAACTCAAGGGACTATTTAAATCATGGGTTTTGTACCTGCACCTAAGATAGAATTTTGTAAACTTTGCCACTCCGAAATCTTGTAAAATCAAGGGAATTACAGGTCCAGTTAACATGATATTGAAATGCAAACTTTAAATTTAGCGCCTCAATTTAGCACCGTGTGAAAGCAAATGCTGTTAAACTTTTGTGTACCTTTATTTTTATTTTTTTAAGAGAAATAGCCTCAGACACTGAATAATATCCATGTTTATTTGGTTTAAAGCCAAGAGATGTCAAACTGTAGAAAACCCTGCTCATGTGCAGGGTCATACACATGGGTCAGTAGCAGACTTTAACCCATTCTCCTCCAAATTCATATTTTGTGGTCATTACTTCATCTTAAATTAGGTGTTAGTCGCTCTCATTTCCAACAGCTTAGGCTTTGTTTAAACCACAAACAGGGAGATCTGACGGTCTGCAGTCTGATAATATTTACACACTCATCAAACCTCCCTAATTAAATGAAGTCATGTTGGCATAACACAGCATAGAGAAATGTTATTTCATGCTCATTGTGGCATTCATGCATACAAAGCACAATACAGTGCCTGTAAGTGAATATTTATGATGAAGCCCCTTTTCTTTACTGCTGTCTGTTTCTCTGAGGCTGACTGAGCACCCCTGTCTGCAGTCTGCTTCTCTCTAGCCCCAAACTGACCTTGCACTGATTGTCCTCTGGTTTGTTTACAACCAAAACATGAGGCAGGTGCACATGCTCGTTCCCACGCCACCTTCTGGTGCCCTCTGTGCCCTCTCTCCAAGCCTGCTTTGTCTCCCATCGATGGCAACCAGTCTGGCTACAGAGACTATGACTGGGTGTCTTCAGTGGCCTGCAGGCTGGAACTGTGAGGCTGATGACGGATGAGGAATAGGGATGGGAATTGATAGGATTTCACTGATATCGATTATCAATTTATTGTTAATCTTCTTATCAATTCCTGCAGATGTTCTGGGGAGGAACATGGTAGGAACAGGTAGGAACATCTGATTGCTGTGGGTATAAAGGACCTACACAATCTGAGAGGAGTCGTGAGAGGAGATGAGTCGTCTACCACTGTTGTTTTTTTGGTCCGTCAAGGTGTTATGAAGTAGATGAGCCATTTTTTTTTTTCGGAATAGCCTCCACCTTCCTCAGTAATCTCTCTAAAACATCCTCCACTGAGTCCAACTTGATTCCAACCACAGAGCCGGCTTTTTTCACCAGTTTGTTCAGACGTCTTGCATCCTTGTGTTTGATACTGCCACCCCAGCAGACAGCAGCGTAGAACAGAACACTGTAGACACCACAGACTGATAAAGCATCTGCAGCATCTTACTACAGATGTCTGTTGACGGAGTCCAGCCATCCATCCATTTTCTACCAGGGGGGATGGAGCCTATCCCAGCATCTTCGGGGGAAGGCAGGGGACACCCTGGACAAGTCGCCAGTTCATCGCAGGGCTGACATATAGAGACAAACAACCATCCACACCTTTGGGCAAATTAACAGTTGTCAATTCACCTAACCCCACTTGTGCATGTTTTTGGGATGTGGGAGGAAACTGGAGTACCCGGAGTACACTCAAGCAAACACAGAGAGAACTCCACACAGAAATGCCCTGGCCCAGATTCGAACCCAGGACCTTCTTGCTCTGAAAGTCACCACTCTGCTGCTCTTGGTCGGAGACTTCTCAGGCAGAAGAAGCGGCTCATAGCGGCTCATGAAGAAGCGGTCATAGACTTCTGTAGATCCAAACCCCCTCTTCAGCCAGTGAACATTGTGATGGACATCGAGGTGGTGACAATAAGTTGGACTGGTCTAAGGACATAGACTTCATCTACAAAAATGGGCAGCCCTTTGTCTTTGAGGGGTTGAGTAGGAGTCAGTTTTTGTGACTCTAGTCTCTGACGGTTCTTATCAGTTCTCTGTATTCAGCTTCTTGTCCATTTCTGATACATGCCGTGATAGCGGTGTCATCTGAGTATTTCTGGATGTGACAGAACTCAGTGCTGTATTTGAAGCCTGATGTATACAGTGTGAACAGGAATGGAGCTTACAAACATTTATTACACTATTTTACCTAAACATACACAAAAACATCCCGAGTTACCATTGTGTCTGAGTGATTAGATCCAGAAAGTGTATGTTGCTTTTACAGCAGCAGAGCTAGGGAGGAACCCAGGAGCAATCTGTTGGACCGCAGAATGATCAGATCTTTGCTTATACATAAGTTTCCGGCAGAAACTTTAAATCAAAACCACTGAAGAATTCCTATCCCAGCATCGCTAGCAGCAACTCACCTTGTAGCTCCTCCTTACATCCTCTCTCTGCTTGAGAGTGTCAGAGAAACACAGTCTTTAAACACAGCGCTGATTTATTTACTTTTTTCGCTGGATAAACTAATCTTCACTGGAATGAGGAGATTAAAACTGAGTGAAAGGAAATAGTAGTGCGTGTATCTTTTGAAGTTTTTTGTTTTTAACAAATTTTCCCTGTACGTGATAGGTAAGTTGAGGACAAGCAGGAAAAGCAGGGAAGAAAAAGGCAATTAAACGCATCAAAGGGCCGATATTGTAGTCGAGCCACGACTTGCTGCAAGAAGTATACAGCCTTATGAGGCACAAACCTTACCAGGTAACCACTATGGCACACCAATTTAGTTTTTAAGATGAATTATACTCTTAATCATGCACCTGGTTCCTTAGGCCCTTGATATTATAGTATGCTTTCCAAACTTGCACTATAATCGCTTGTGAAAAGATAAATATCAAAAACTGAAAAAAAAGGAAATATTCTTGTTTTACTTTTTGCCCTAACTCCCTGCTCTAGAAAGCTGAAGTAACCACTTGTTCCGGGCTTCCCACCAGATGTTGGGACTGGTTCCCACTCAGACACAAGAGTATTAATGAGGTCAAACACTGATGTTTGTGATATTGTCTGGTTCTCAGTCAGTCCAAAGGTTTTTCATCGGAGTTGGGCCGGCCAAGTTCTTACAATCCAAAATCAAACTATTCTTTGTGAGGCATTGTGCTGCACAATCCTGTTGAAACGACAAATGAACATACACACAGTGTTACATAAGTAACATACAAAGTTTGCAGGGCTTTACTGTCAATATTGTCTCTTAGGGCTGAAACATGAAGATTTCCCTTCATCGGAAACACCCTGCAGAGTGCGCACACTTTTGATCACATACCACAAAGAGTTTTTGTGCAACGACACATCCTTGTGCTTACACCACAACTGATATTCTATTTTGAGTCCCACTTTGTGTCACTATTAGGTCAACTATGAAGCGTTTACTCTTCACATTGCTGCTCATTCCACCTCTGACTGTATCCAGAGCAGATTCTTGACAATCACACACACCATACTTGGCCTTACATGTACGACAGTGCCTCTGCTCTCCACATATAATGTATACTGTACATGTGTTTTGTCTGCTGGTGTGTGTGTGTGTGTGTGTGTGTATGTGTGTGTGTGATTGTAGAGCAGGATTAGGCTGAGGGAGAGTGAGGGGTTACTGGAGTCCAGCAGCTGTGCAAACAAGAGCAGCCAGATATTACTGCGAGTGCCATCTCTCCCACACTCTGCTGGCATTAGGCCGGCACTCACTGGAGCTATCATTACATGGACCTATTGTTACTCCTGTCACCCAAAAGCCCTCATTGGGAAGATTATCTCAAAGCATCAAAAATGACACCTAACCTAAACCATCTGCCTGTGTTAGACAGTAAATTTCCAGGTCTGGTGGGAGAAAATGTTGGGTATTGGTCAGGTCACCAATTTGTCTGAGGCACAGGCACCATGACACAGAAAGTGCAGCAGGTAAGGTTTGATTTTAGGCATTAATGAGTGAGACCAGCCCTTGTTGTAATGAAATATATATAATGCATGAATTTTGGGATGTTAAAATGAAGATATATAGTTTTCTTTACCTTGCTTTGTGAAGATACATCCTGACACAACACCAGCAGACAGGCGAACAAGTTCGTGTATCTCCACATTTTCTCTCCTCAGTGGCTGCGCGTAAAATTCACAGAAATCCAAAGAGACAGTCACTGCATGCAGTCCATCAGGTGCGAGATTAGTCCAATTGTTTTAGCTCCATTTTCTTTTCTTAAAGGGCGGATGACAAAAATGTGGGTCCGTCTGTCAGAGCGTGGATGAATGTAAGCGCGCTGCTGCTCTGTGCGCTCTTTATGCACCGCGCACTCAATGTTCAGTCCGGCGCACGACGCGCATCCTCTATCATCCGCTGTCCTCTGCTGATGGGAGGGGTTTAACCTCAGACATGAAGTCCGTCTGAATGTATTCAATTTACTTACGGTTTTTTTCTGACGTCTTTGACAATAACAATAATAATAATAATTTATCATAATAATAATTGTTCCTTCGGTTATCAATAATATTCTTCTTCTTCTTGAAAAAAAAAATTACAAATTGCAGGAGACGAAGAGAAAGAGAGGAACACATGAGCCGAGAAACACAAACTTTTTCTTTTTTAACTCGTCTTCATGTAGATTTTTAGGTGTCCCATTATGGGAAGAGTATTCAACTACAAGCTTCAGGGAAGACATCTAGGGCGAACACATCTGCAGAGGACATTATACACCGTTTGACAGGCTTTTGGCGCCATCTGCTGGAAGTTTATCAGGCGTACTTTGAATCTTCTCTCCCACAGTTTTGACACAAATAAGAAACACAATGCTGACTTTCTTTTTTATATACAGTACAGGCCAAAAGTTTGGACACACCTTCTCAATCAATGCGTTTTCTCATTACTATTTAAATAGTAGATTCTCAGTGAAGGCATCAAAACTATGAATAAACACGTGGAATTTTGTACTTATAAAAAAGTGTGAAATAGCTGAAAACATGTTTTATTTTTTAGATTCCTCAAAGTAGCCATCCATTGCTTTTTTTGATAGCACTGCAAACTTTTGCTGTTCTCTCAATGAGCTTCATGAGGTAGTCACCTGAAATGGTTTTTAGGGTTACTTCATGACTAACAGAGTCACTCACTAAGTACTTCTGTCATCAAGAGCAAAAGGTGGCTATTTTAAAGAAACTAGAATATAAAACATGTTTTCAGCTATTTCACACTTTTTTTTATAAGTACAAAATTCTTCATGTGTTCAATCATAGTTTTGATGCCTTCAGTGATAATCTACAATGTAAATAGTCATAAAAAAAAATGAAGAAAAGACATTGAATAAGACGGTGTGTCCAAACTTTTGGCCTGTACTGTATATAAAAAAAGGAAATGAAGAATAACAACAACGAGTGACCTATGTCATCTAAACTGCAGGGACAGAATGAGTTGTAATATTCCCACACTAATAACTTACATGATATCTCTTAAAGCCACTGAGAAACAAACTGAAATTTATACCGATCTCTCTCTATGACTTTCAAAAACAAATGAGACCATCAACAACATCCTTTCATATCTTGATGTAGCCTTTTTTTCAATATCTGAAATTTGTGGTGGATGTTAGGTGTCAGTCAGCAAAAGTAGCCTTTGTTTACATTTTCCTGGAGGAAAGGTTTCAATGAGTAAAATCAATCAGTCTTTATTTATATAGCACTTTTCATACACAACATGTAGCACAAAGTGCTTTACACAGAAAAAGGAATAAAAGAAACAAAGAATACCCAAATCAACCCCAGCCCAACCCCTCATTCCCACCCCATGGTTTAATTGTAACAGAAACAGTATTAAAATGCATAAACTTTGAAAGGGCTTGATTTCGTGGAAACAGAAATGTGCGCACTGAGGAAATGTCATTTTAAAACTCAAGATAAAGAAACACTGGAAGTTTAGGTTAAAATCTAAAAACAAAGAAACATAGAATGAAATTATAATAATAAATAAATAATAAATAAAATGAAATAAAAACAACAGTAAAAGATACTAAAATGAGAACACCAAAATAGCTCAATAAAGACGATCCTGTGATTAAAATTAGAATAGATAAATGTTAAAACACATAAAGTTAATGATATAAAGTTAATGAGTAATACACTTGGAGGTAACAAAGAAGGATTCGTTTCTCTTGTGCCTATGGTAACAGTGTTACTAAACTGATTGACTTATTAAAGAGATTAGTAATGCTGTAAGATTGTAAAAAAAAAAAAAAGTAAGTCTATATAACTGAAGAATTCAGATTTTTCACTCAATGTTTCCAGATCACTCAAGCCTGACTCACTAATGCAATGTTTTTTTTGTGAATATTACCAACATGTTTCCAACAATATGAGCACCAGCCTGCTGACACTCCGAGTCTCCTCTTACCATGAACCTGGTTGGCTGCATGATGACGGTTAAAACTATGAGACAGGGACACACAAGCCTGACTGTGGAGACATCTGCAGGACATCAGGAGAACACAAACACAGCTGATCATACACTACTTATGGCTTACATCACTGTTTCTGCACAACTGATTATTTCCAAAGCTAGTTAACTAGTCGTAAGAAAATCAAAAATCAAAAATCTCCTAGCTAATTTTCTTTACAAGTTCATGGCCTACAATCAACATCGCTGAACTTTTTGGGTGCTGAGTGTATACTTTTGCACATTGAAATGCAAAAGCAAAAAAAAATCCTCCGTATTCAACAGTGAAAAGTGAAAAAAAAGTACATTTTTGGTCTCTTGTTTTATCACTTCATCATATTTATGTTATAAAAGGAAGGCTATGCTGACGTCTCTACATCTGAATGGTGAATATAAATATACATGTTAAAACTTAATGTTTGATGTTGGTTTCACATTCACGACATCCAAAACTTAAATTTTAAATTTTAGCAAAAGATTTCAATGTGACGTTTAGATTCACATTGAACATTTAGATTGATATCTAAAAGTAAAAACATAATACAATTTAACATTGGGATTTACCATTTATCATTTAGAATCAAAAATGGGGCCAACGTTCATATCAAACTCTGGCAATATCTTTCATTAAAAGTTGATAATAAAAACAAATGAAAAAGTTCAAAATGATTGCATTACATCTGATGAAAAGTGACAGAAAATTTACAGCCTCAACTCAATACTCTGCAACTTCGAGATTGTGTAATTTTTTATTTTTTTTTTACCACAGTGTGACCACCAGTGGGCACTACACAATTTCAACTAACTTTACCACTCTTTCCAGTGAGTGTGAAACTTCATGTTTAAACTGAGCTGTCCTGTCAGGTACAATACCAGGAAAAAAAAATCGTTATTTTAAGTTTTCATTTTTTTTGGGCTTGCCTTTTGAAAGTTTGAGCCCTGTTGCTCAAATCCAGAGTTGGACTCAATATCCCAAAATGCTTCCACGACGAAGTCCATCTGTTGCGTAATTTGTGTGTGCTTGTGCTGCATTCACGGGGTGTGGGAGTAACTGGACGCCACAATTCAACAGCGTTGATTTGCCTACCTGTCGCTACTGAGTGGAAAGTAATTGAAGGATTGATCCGTATTTGTTACAGACTTGGCCTTATTAAAATTTTCGAAACAATTTAGATTTATCTTTATTTATTTTATTTCGTCTCTAGAGTGAATAACGAGCAACTTCTCCTCGTCTTTGCCATGTGCAAAAAAAATACAAAAAAATAAAAAAATAAATAAAATTAAAAAATATATACAAAATAATAATATTTATTATAAACATAATAAAAATGATGATATAATAAATAATAATAAAATAAAAATAAATAATTACAAACATAATAAAAATAAACATAATTAAAATAGAGTAAATTAAATAAAAATAAAAATAATAAGAATTAAAATAAAATAAATTATAATAATGGTTTTGATAATAATAATAATAATAATAATAATAATAATAATAATAATAATAATAATAAAACAATACTTAAAAAACAGAATCATGAAATCCGATAAAAAAAGGATGTGTTCCTTATTTGTTACCCAATTAAAAGGTATTTTTAATTCATCAGGACTTAAACTTTTCAAACTTACCACTGTATACGGTAAAGTTCATAAATATTGGTGGCCAACTTTTCAATAAAAAAACAAACAACAAAAAACTTGTCTTGCAAATACACTTTAAAATAAAAAGAGTAAGCGAGCATAATTCCGTCGTTCAAACCAGAGAATCGTCTAAATTTGACTCAAACAATACTCAGTAAGGCTTTTCTTGTGTCTGCTTTTTCTTTGGACCAAAGATGCCGCTGTCCTCCAGCTTTCTCAGCGACCCTGAACGCACCACCCCTGGGGGTGTGGACCCAGTTATTCCCCACTGACCAGAAGCAGTAGGCCAAATCATGGGACGGCGGTCCGAGCAGTGAACAAGCCGGGCTGAGGACACGGACAAAGGCGGCGATTCACTTCAGACTGCGCCTTCGCCACCACCACCAGAACCAGAACCAGAACCAGCACCGTCAAGCCTCCACCACCACCACCATCACCATCGGCAGCAACAGCTGCAGCAGCAGCGTGTGGAGACCCGGCGGTGAGAGGTTTCGTCGGACTGAATCGGGATCATCCCATGCTCGAGGATGGAGATAGAGAAGAGGGCGAATGGGTTCGACTACCCGGAGAGAAACGACGCCAAGCCCGTCAACGGTAAGCGAACGATCCGGAGCATGCCCCTGCATGTCCACAAACACACGCATACACATACATATACACACGCACACGGGCGCGCACGTGTTTTGTGTTGCACACTTCCCTCACCTACAAACATGACAGCGTGGCTGCAGTATTTTTAGATGTTTCCCCGATCATCTAAGGCCACTTCTAATAACTCCACGTCTGTGAACTCATGCTTGGGAGAGGACATGACACCAGTGTGAGGGCATTTGTGAGCTTATGCATCACCTGAAATCCAACTTTTAAACATATTTTGCACCCTGGCTCTCCTGAATATTTAAGTGGAACAGTCTGTCATTTGCTCTGTAGGAAATGTGCTGTTTGTTTCGCGTTTTTCCTGTGCGTAAATGCGCAGTTGTCTTCGTTTATTCCTGTGTGTTTGCCTGCTTTCTGACCTGTGCGCAGCCGGAGTGAGGATTTCTGGGAACAGAGGTCGGAATGTTTTTATTTGGAGGTGGTCAGTCAGGCTCGAGGAGATCGTAAAAGGTGAACTTTTGAACTTGGAGAACGCCCCTGAAGTCATTAACTTTTCAGGCCACAAAATCCGCTGCTGCTGCGCTGCACAGGATGGAAAAAGATGCGAAATGAAGGCGTGAAAAGGTGCAAAGATAGAT